AGCATGTATCTCAAATCAAACTGCGTAAAATCAAAGATAAAGGCCTTCATCATGGAGCAGAATGCTCCTTGATAATCTGACAGTACGCGTTCATCTAATCAATTGGTTTATTTCCGTGTTCACAGCAGCCCGTAACTGAGTAAGTCCAATTCTAAGTCTGCTGAATATAATCTACATAACCCCACACTATATTTCAAGACCATTTTAATATTATCCTTCAATCTACTCCTAAATTTTCTAAGTGGTCTCTTCCTTTAAAGTTTACAAACTAAAGTTTCATACATTTGCTTTGTTTCCTGTGCGTGCTACACGGAACATTCCATCCCTGTTAACTCCATGTGACTACGCAGATTAACGATGTATTTTTCTGTACTTTAGGAAAAAATATTACCTCATCAGAAAATTAAAACTTTCGGAAGTTACATGGGCAATTCTTGTAAATAACCAAAGTCCTTAAACTGTTGATACCATTTACATGGACACATTCAAGAACGCCTTTTACTGGCTATACGACCAGAGTTTCTCTGGATGGACACCCCTGCGGCGGTCGATGGGAGAGACAGAATTAAAAGAAATGAAAGAAGTAGCAAGAATAAAAAACGTATAAGGCCTACATCTGCTACGTACGTGTAATCTTTCGCAGAGAACAATGCAATCTTAGCCTAACCTCACTTAACCTTGGTTTCAGTCAGAGAACGGAAGAACTCATTCTTCTCACATTTCGCTACTAGGACGTATAAATACGTAGTAAGGATGCTAATTATTCGCATTATTACCAAAGCGTGCTTGAGGATACCAAGAGACAGTGTAAAGTGATCATGTATATTCTACAGGTAAGGGAGTGTGGTGAATTCAGTGTTAAGTGATATCGCTGGCTAAGAGCCTTTTGTACTGAAAACTACGTTGTGGAAAATTCGGATTGTAACACGACAATCAGAACACATATTATAATGATAACAACTGGTGTCATAAAATATAAGAGAAACTCATCTTATAATTAAAATTAGATACGAAACCATGACAGAATGTAAAGGATTTACTAATGTAATGCAGATACAAAATAAAGCCATTTTGTGATTAATTTTTGGCCTTTT